TTAAAAACCAACTGTCCATATTGAAGAGCCAAATGTCCTCTGAGTACTAACCAAAATTCAGGTTGGTCAGATTAGAGATGATCTATCGATCGTCAGGTTGAAGAAGGACAAATGGATTAAAAATTTTGCAATTCAACTCTTTGATTTGGCTATCTTTCTAGAGACAAAACTCCACAAAAAAGATGGCTATCACAAAATTGATCGTTGGATGTGAAGATCTTTTTGTTAACAATAATGCTTTGAAATTTAAGCAAAAACGGAGCAAGATTCACCATTGGATCATCACCAGAATAACCTGGTGTCGTTGTCTCTCTCTCACTTCTGCAGATTTTTAATCTGTAAATAGGACCCATGTTTTTCACTGTTCACCCACTCAAAAATCAACTAAAACAAGCTGCCATTTTATTTTCCTTTTATTTTTGGGCTTTAGGATGTTGATAATAGGTAATTATATATGTGTGTATGTGTGTGTGTGTGAGATCAACATTTAGAGTACCATGATTTTGATTTTTTCAGATTTGTTTTTTTCTTTCTCTTCGATATTATTCGCCTTATTTTGCATAGCAAATTAATTAAAGTTGCCATTTCACAGTCATAGTAATAGGGAATATGCCACTGTCAACTAGGATGAGCTCGGATTTGGTCTAACTCCAACCGATTACATGTACATTATGGAATGCTCTAAAGAAGAGAACTTTTTGCCAGGAATTCTCACTCCATTAGGAAACATGGAGATGAACCCTTCATCGAGAATTTTAAACTATGCACAGGTAACTTTCCCGAACTGAAAATTTGTACAAACTTTTAATATAATGGAATATATCAGTTTAACAAATAGTGTCATTTAACATTTATATTAGTAATAAATATTTTATGTACACCAGTTGTGCACCATTCCGTCAATGGCGGGTGGCGGTGGCTGGCTGCCAGCAATGGCTTCGGGTGGGTGGGGTTGATTTTGCTACAAATTAAAGCTTTATATGGTTGGGGTGTCTTAGCAAAATTTCAAATGTAGGGGGTTAAAAGAAATGATTCAAAAAATAGTATTATATTAAATTTTAAAAAGGAAGGCAATTTAGTAATCTATATAACATACCCACCCATTTATCCTCGCAACCAAACATATTATTTACCAATTTATTCGAACCAACCAAACACATTTCCTAAACAATCTTAGTAATCTTCAAGGTGATTTATCTCTCTGTTAATATAACATCCCCCTATACTAAAATATTATATGATCCAAACACCCGCATATAGATATTCATATTTCCCAACTCTCTCTTTTATTATTTTTTTATTTTTTATTTTTGTTTCTTTTCATGATATATAATCATATTGCCAATACACCTCTTCTAGTCTTACTAATATAAATTGAATGGCACAAGTATTGTTGCTGACAAAGCTTGGCTAATAATATTTGTGTGCATGATTTTGTCTGATGGCCAAATTTGTGTCACCTATCTAAAAACCATACCGGGATATAGCAATCTGGATCATCCCACGTGTCACACCAACAGCGAATGACTTAATCAATAAGCTCACCACTCTTGAGCATGGGCATTCTGACTTAAGTATGGGTGAGGGTTAACTCTGATCTGGATTACAGGAAATTATGCGTGTAATCCATCACATAATACCAACTTCCAAACACTGTCAGACGGCATGTATAAAAGGGAGACACCACCTCTATTTTATGGATCCTGGATTAAATACACTTAAACAGAGAAAACCATTTTAGAGAGAGCATCAACTTGCTATTACTTGTTTTCTCTTGTAATCATCTTGTGTAAATTTCAGTTATAAGCAACAAGATAGCAGTGGACGTAGGCTTGGTTCTAACCTATAGAACCACTTTAAAAACCTCTTGTTTACTCTCGTTATGGATTTTCTGATCTATTTCAGGCTGGTTATTTATAATCATAGGCTGACTATTTATAATCACGCGCACATCCTACAGGGTGAGCATGGATAAAGGGTAGAACCTAAACCAATGGGTACCCACTCACCGTTTTTGGGTAGGAACCAAAATCGATCCCATTAGGGTCCGATTCCAGTTCTAAAAATTTGGAACTGGAAATTCCTAGGTCCGGTTGTAATTACTATAGTGTTGGAACCAAGAACCATAACTAGAACCAAGGTCCGGGTACCCAGGTAGGAACCAAGACTAAATTGTAATTTTTGTAAACTGTTGGGGTGTATTGGTAATTATTTGGGGGTGTATTTATCATTTTTTAAAAGTAGGGGTAACTAAAATTAACCCAAGTACTTGGAATCATAAACCGAAACCTATATTTTAGGTTTCGGTTCCAAATTTTCAGGAATCAGAACTGGCCGGTTCTGGATCTAATTCCAAATCTTAGGAACCGACCGGTTTCGATTCCAGTTCCAATTCTTTTAAAAAATGTAGGGTACCCGAAACCGCTCACTCTTAAATTTCTACCCAGTCCCGTTGTGGTCAACTAGATATCTCTGATTGTTGCGAATTTTTGTAACAACAATATTTTAGCTAGATTTTAATCCAGAAATTATGTTTATATATCATAAAATGATAAATAAGTTAAAAGATTGTAATACTACAACAAAGTAGTCTACGAAGATTCTCTATTGATATATATGAATAAATACCCACGTCATTTTTGATCTATTAAAGAATATGTACGAATAGATTTGCTATTTATTTACCAGGTTCCTAAAACTTTTAGCTAATTGAACATCATGGCTAACAATTATATCTTTTAACTGTAAATTGTGTCCGGAATCATGGAAACCCTTGCACACAGGCATGCACATTAAATCTTCAGTTTTATTTTGATATCAGAATTTTTTATAACAATGTGGCTGCCAGCATCTATCCTAAACATAAATCCACTTCATCTTATCTCTTTTCTTTCATTTTACACTGATTTGATATTACCAGAAAAAATAGCTACCTGTAAAGGACAAAGCTAAAGTGGCACTATATAGGTGGAAGCTGAGTCAGTAGACTCTTCTCAGGGTTCTTTTAGTGAAGGTTCATTTAGCGACATTCTTAACTTTTCAATGTAAATCTGTCTGGGACAGGATTTATCCCTACACGTGCATATAAATCTCACCATTGTATAGTATATTGAATATGAGCTAATATACAGAAAAGTTTTAATCCCTTTTCTTGCTTGCTTTCCTTCAATTATTTCACATGTGACCAATGGCGTTATGCTGCGTCATTTTTTCATAAGATTTTGCACCTTAATTCTTTGTCTTGACCCATTAAACCTCTAGTGCTTGAATTTAGTTGAACCATGGAATGAATCATAATCACTGTCGTTTTATATTTTTATTATTCTTTGATAGCAGTTGAGCTATATAGTAACATAATACATAACATTATATATATCACCACAACCATGGGCGGATCCAGAAAATTCTGTTAAGGTGTGCCAAATAAAAACTAATTGTATATAACATTCATATTCTGTTTTTCCAGTCAATATTGTCACAAAAAGAAAAAAAAAATTACATTTACTATTGTCCTCGACAGGGCTTCATATTGAGAAATCGTTGCATGATCATTTCCTTATCAACACTATCAAATATATCTTTCTCAACATATGGAATTAGGCTATCATTCAAGAATTGATCTCCCATCCGATTGCGTAAATGAGTCTTCACAATTTTCATAGCAGAAAATGTCATTTCTACACTTGCAGTTGCAAATGGTAAGGTTAAAGCCAATGTAATGAGCAAATATATCAATTAGTAAATAAGATGCTTCTTCTTTTCAACCATTTTCTAAGCAAGACTGGTAATATCATTTAGTTCTTAAAAATAACTATCCGAGCACATATCATCAATGTAATTATTAAATTGAAGTTCAAGTGTCATAAGATCGTAGAAGAAAATTCAAGTGGATAAAATTGAGCAAAACGAACCAATTTTCCCTTATCAAATGCTTGAAAGCAATCACTTGGATTTAGGAAGGTCATGCAAATAAGTAATTCTATATTACCTTCATTAAAACGACTGTTAAGGTCTGATAATTGCAAATCTATTATGGCATAGAACAAGTCGACACGGTAATGAAATAAATTTGTCATCTCTTGAACATTACGCCGCAGTCTCCTTCGTGCAACAAATTTCTCTTTCATATTTGGCACATTTATATTATGAGCAATGCAAAAATGAGAAACTTCATCAAGTAGATTATCTTATCCATTATTTCTTGTTCCTCATTAAGAAGATCCTTACGTCTAGGTGACCATCCAACAATATTTATCACACAAGAAACTTTCAAAAATAGTCTCTCAATAGTTGTATCCTTTTTTGTCATAGCTATAAATTTCAGTTGAAGTTAGTGAGTAAAACAATGAACATAGAAGGCATATTCATTATCTTTCAATATAAGTGCTTTTAACCCATTAAACTAGCCTTGCATATTACTCACACATCATAACCTTGTCCACGTAATCTTATATGCTCAAATTGTATTTAGAGAACAATGTTTCGATTCCCATCTTCCATGTTTCGATTCCCATCTTCCCCATTTTTTCTAAAAGTTTTCTTAACAAAAAATTCAATGTATAATGTTATTATGCTAATACATACAAATAAAAGAAAAATATTATATACAAAAAAAGTACAAATAAGAGAGAAAATAGCTGATAAAATTTTGTTGAAGTCTAAACTATGAAGAATTAAGGAGAACAACAAAGGAGTTGTGAAAGACGTGAGTGACTACAGACTGAGGGTTTGCAAATTGTGACTACGGAGGAATGTTTACTTTTACAAGTTTTATTAAAAAATTGAAGGTGGGAGGTGGGCCTAAGTTTTTTAGTATGAAAATAGAGAGTGGACCAAGACTTTTTAATGCTAAAATTGAGAGTGGGCCACATTTTTTAATATTTGAAAATAAATAACATATTTAATTTTTTTTTTTTTTTTTTTTTTAAATTGACCCTTACCACACTCTGGATCCGCCCCTGACCACAACGATTTTCTACCTGAGGATGGAAAAAAAATTGTAAAACAAATGTTTTAAAATTTGTCAGCTTTGAAATATATATGCAACAACTGACTGGGTCAATTAAATGGCTTGAAAATATATTTAACTACACACGATGAGCTTGTATATAAAGCAAGGAGTTTGCTTGCAGTTGCAGCTCATAGAGACGGTCTTGGGTTAAATCAAGCTGAAGTGCTTTTGTTTCTGCTTCATATCAAGAGACTCTTTCGTTAGATTTTGCAAATCATCACACCATGTTTAGAGCGAAAGATTGTGAAGGATCTTCTTTCACCGAGGTATGTCAGTGTGTTGTATATTCAAAGTAAAATTTTATTAATCATCTCTCTTTCGGCATAATCACCAGTGACCTCTAGTATACAAGGGAGTTAAAATCAGATTGCATGTCTTATGATTATTAAACTTTTTCATATATTTGACTTGGTTTTATATCATCTCTGTTTCTGCATATATATATATTGTAGTTGGTTTTTATTACCAGTTCCAGATGATAAAAAATTATATCTTTACTATCAATGTCATCAAATACAATTTGAAAACATCCTTGGTGCATATACACCGTTTCAGGTCAGGTCTAACTCCACATATCCGGCAGCCGCCGTGCAAGCTTGTGAACCAGATGTTGATAATAGGTAATTATATGTGTGTGTGAGATCAACATTCAGAGTCCTATGATTTTGATTTTTTCAGATTTTCTTTTTTCCTCTTTCTCTTCGATATTACTCACCTTAATTTGCATAGCAAATTAATTAAAGTTGCCATTTCACAGTCATGGTAATAGGGAATATGCCAATGTCAACTGGGATGAGCTCGGATTTGGTCTAACTCCAACCGATTACATGTACATTATGAAATGCTCTAAAGAAGAGAACTTTTCGCCAGGAACTCTCACTCCATTAGGAAACATGGAGATGAACCCTTCATCGGGAATTTTAAACTATGCACAGGTAACTTTCCCGAACTGCAAATTTGTACAAGCTTTTGATATAGTGGAATATATCAGCTTAACGGCTAGTGCATTTAACATTTATTTTAGTAATAAATAGTCTTCTTCCAGGTTTTTAATCAAATTGATGTATGCTAGCAGTATTCATGTACTAAAATGGTGTTGCATTTAGGGAATATTAGAAGGTATGAAGGCGTACAGGACAGAAGATGGGCGTATTCTACTGTTTCGTCCGGAACTGAATGCTCTGCGAATGAAGATGGGTGCAGAAAGATTGTGCATGCCATCACCAACGATGGAGCAATTTCTTGATGCCGTAAAGCAAACTGTCAATGCCAATAAGCGTTGGGTAACTAATAGTTTAAACCCTCGTAATCATATGCTCAATATTTTTAAAATCCAAATCAACAATAACTCTATATATAAAGAATTACAAACAGGTAATGTTTATCAACGAATTCTAATGAATTTATATATATGGATGGTGAATAGGTTCCTCCGCCAGGGAAAGGATCATTGTATATTAGGCCTTTGCTAATAGGAAGTGGATCAATGCTCAACTTGGGGACGGCCAATGAACATACATTTATAACATATGTTTCTCCAGTCGGCAATTTTCACAAGGTGCCAAGTAATTAGTGTAGTTTTTTGTGTTTGATGCAGGGGTTTATACATCTTAATGGATAAATCTTTTTTTATGAGTCCATCACGATTGAATACATCTGCAATTGCAATACTTATTCACTTTAAAAATTATTAGAAGACTAAAGATTTGCCTCAATAATAGGGGGTCGTAAATTTGGTTGTTGGGGAAAATGTTTATCGAGCTACGCCTGGTGGAACTGGAGGTATAAAAGCTATCTGCAACTATGCATCGGTAAGCCTATAAAGAAAACTATGAGCAATTTGTAGTATCTATTCTTAACATTTCTTCTCTTTTTTATTTCTCTTTTTTTTTTTTTTTTAAATTGGTCTTTCTTTGACTATAGTGTTACTACTTGCATTAACTACTGTTCCATGCCTAACTTTTTGGCTGTAGATTTATAAAACAATTTCGGAAGCAAAGGCCAAAGGGTTCACTGATGTCCTATTCCTTGATGTAGTAACAGGAAAAAATATTGAAGAGGCTTCTACAAGCAACATCTTTATAGTAAAGGTAAAACTGATAATTAAAAAAAAAAAAAAAACTTTGTTCTACATTTTCCTATGTTTATGTTAAAATATGTATACATGTTATATTCTTCAACTTAGTGTTAGCTTAACACTCTTAATAAATTCACATTATGCTAATGTATCTTTTTGAGTAAACCCGGTAATTGCCTCTCCCTTAACTTGAACACAAAACCCTTGGGTGTAACTAACTTGAGTGATTAAATGACTTACCATCCGATCACAAGGGAAGAGGTATGTTAATGTATTTTTTTTCTATGCTAAATTATAAGTTCTAACACAGTTTTTTTTTTTTTTTTTTTTTAAGGGAAATACCATTTCAACTCCAGCAACAGATGGAACTATTCTGCCCGGAATTACCAGAAAAAGCATTATTGAAATTGCTCGTGTTTTAGGTTATGAGGTGATTCTCTTATAATGCTTCAATTAGCGAGGCACATATATTATCAAATTCAAGATATATACTAATTCTCAATCACGATTTTGAACAGGTTGAGGAACGTGCTATCCCGGTAGAGGAATTGTTTGATGCTGAAGAAGTTTTCTGCACTGGAACTGCAGTAGTTGTCAATTTTGTTAGTAGCATAACCTATCAAAGTAAAAGGTATTTAACTATTGAGATTATTAAATCCTAATTATAGCACAATGAGAATGACACATTTTAAAGTTCATGGACTTTAGATTCAAGGTCCAAACACAACTTTCTTATTAATAAGCTGAATGCAGGGTCGAGTACAAGACTGGAGTAGAGACAGTGTCTCGAAAGCTGTATAATACTCTAACCGGAATTCAAACTGGTCGAATCGAGGACAAGATGGAATGGACCTTCACACTTGATTGATTAATTTTATCTTCATAAAACTGCAATATACAAAAGCATAATAAATGAGAAATAATTTAGTCCTATTGCTGGAAGGATATTGTTATGTTAATAATCTGTTTGTAACCTACGAGGACAAATCGCAATATTATGAATAATAAGTACTTGTGTCAATGCCAGATCCAGCTTATAGTTCTCTTTTACCTTATGCTTATGATAAATCTGAGTGCATCAAACTTCTTCTCTTTAATTCGTTCTCTAATGACAATTTTCACAAGGAACTCTCATTCCATTTAAAACATGTTGATCAGCCCTTCATCCGGAGTCCTAAATTATGGACAGGTAACCACCCTCATTGTTGTTTATTTTATGGAGAAAATAACATTGTAAATAATGGATTCTAATTAAGTAAATAAGGAGGTCTAAAAGCTTACCGGAGAGCGTCTGGTATTATTCCGGCCAGAAGAGAATGGTTTGAAATGAAGTAGATAGTATAAAATTACAGGGAAATGTGATTTCAACTCCAGCAACTCATGGAACAATTCTCCCTGGAGGCACTAGAAAAAGCATCATTCATATCACTCCTCTTTTCGGTTGCAAGGCACAAAATATAAATAAGATTTGTTCGAAGCTGCAGTTGAAAAAGCATCAAAATATATGTTTCTAAAGCCATATTCCACATAATTTTTTTCTGTAAAATTAATGCTGGGTAGGTTGAGCCATGGAGGAACGTTGCATTCAAGTGCAGTTGTTCGAAGCTGAGGAAGTTCAGGAACTGCAGTGGCTGTCTATCCTGTTACTAGCATTACCTAGAAGGTTTAAATTTTTGGATTCTTCTCTTTTCTTCCATACAATTACAATATTAATACAATACTCACTACTCACTAGTCGGTTAATTGATTGATTTTGAATAGAAAACAGGAAGCGAAACTGCATCTCAAAACTCAAAAGTTGTAGGAAATACTCACAGGAATTCATAAACTGAGATTGAAATTAGTTCATACTGTAATGTTAAGGACTATTCTCATCCCTCTAGAATAGATTTCAGGAGCGTTGTTTATGTGTATTTCCTACAGAATGGGTACTTAATGACATGATCATCAACCTCATAACTCAAGACTTTAAAGAACAGATAATATTATCTAAATCTAATTAGTCTGTGCATCATTTTTTACCCTTGATAAAGTTGAGAAGTGTTACAAACAAGTCATTCCAAGTATCCGTAATTCCTGGTAAGCACCAGTGCATGCAGTCATCGTGTTTCTTTCCACCGGCTGTGGAGGGATGGGCATCAGCTCTGAACTCGCTCATGTGGGTAATGTCCAAAACATGGAAATGTGACCCCTTGAGGGCCTCATACAGGTGCTGATTCACCACACGTGTTTCGACATTTGTTCCATTATTTTTTAGTGAAAAAAGTTCTTCAACCTGAGAGAAAACAGAAAACTTTAAATCTCCATCCTTATTCAGAATACAGTCTACATAAGCAAAAACTATGCATCTAAAAGAAATTGATACCCCTCGGGATACAAGCATATAAAATAGATCTTTACAGATAATGATACGATTACTATGCATGAGGTGTTTGAAATATCGTTTTAACAGAAAATGATATTCAATCAGATCCTGAGCATTAGATGTTACTCACTTGCTCCGATAACAAAGGCTGCAGCCGTTGACAAGAACCACCTTGGTCCCAGTCACCTCCTTCAAAATGTCTTGGCGACTGCGTACGAAAGAATTTGATTGCACCTGGTCGAGCAGTTTTCTCAACAAAATGTATCTGTCATTACAAATTCCATTAGAGAAAATAAAACTAATATCTAACTTGTAATGTACAGAGTTATAACTCTAATTACTATTTAATCGGGTCAAATTTATCATTTTCTTTTTCCCTCACCATCAAACTCACTATACCCACATGATTCATGTCATTAAAGATGAGATTTCAAAATACTAATGGAGTATGCTAAGTGAAATGGGAAAGCATTGCTTCTTTTAAACTACAGAAACAGTTGATGCTTCTAGGAAAGGCAAATCCGGGATGGATGTCCAAGTTAATGCAGGATAGAAGTAAATACAAAAAGCAAGACATTTGACAAAGCAATGAGTTAATCCATTCAATTTCTAAGGGAAAGCACCCAAAGAAAACCATGATAGGCACAATTAGATTCGCTAAGGTAACATATATAAGACAGCCGCATTCACTTCTGAAAAACATTTCACAAAACAAACAGACAATTCCACATCAAATAATTCGAAAAAGGTAATATCAGAATAGCAAAAGTCCTACAATAACCAAGAAATGGTCATGGCACTCCACAAATGCTAACTTGACCAAACTTTCCACAATTTCTGTCTAAAATTTCAATGAAATTCTCAATCTTCAACAAAAATGTTTCTGGGGTGACCATGTCATCCCCATTAAGAAGTAAAGCACAAACGGAAGGCCAATTCTCCAAACCAATCTTGCAACACTGTCATTCTGCATTGGGACAGTCATGTAAGATGACAACAGTTGATGTGAGTCATAAGAGTACCAATTATGAGAAACTGTGGATTTACCCATCATAAAAGTGAGAGGTGACCTTGACAGAGAACTATCGCAGCTCATTATTATATATAAATGCTACTCTTCGAAACCTCAAAGGGATCCTCTACATAGCAAATAAAATATTTTTAACCCCCCAAAAGAATTAAAAAAATATGTTTATATACGGTGGCTATATTTCTAAATGAAAAAGCATGCAGATTTACATCAAATAACTAAAAACCTGAACAAATAAAAAAGCTAAATTAGGAAATTAAATCTAAACAATATAAGTAACATTCTAATATAACATCTTAAATGTTACCAAAGTTTAGCCTTTAGCACCTCCAAAGCTTTAGGTAAGAGATCTAAAGTTTAGATATCTTTATCATGGATCAAGCCACTAGTCTTCTTATTGCAAATAGGCATACAAACCTAGACCCTGAAGACCCAAGCAAGCATCACATTTTACATTTGTTTTGTAAATTTTAACCAATTGTATCCCATTTTATAATCCAAAAAAAAAAAAAAAAATCTTCAATAAAGCAAGATTCCTCAACTTTATGTTCAATACTGTAAGTTTGTATGCATGCAAAAAAGAATTCAATAGCCAAAGTAAAAGCTAAAAGCCAATTTCTATCAGGCATTCACTATGTAAGCTTATTATATCCTACCGAACAGCTTATTGTTTTCTACCGAACAACTTATTATTTTCCACCTAAAAACTTAGCAAAACAAAGCATTCAGTGTCATACCATGTGTTTTAGAACTTTATCCAAACCAACATCAGGAGATATGGGAGGGATGATAGGCTGATCCTTCTCAAAGAAAAGCATGGGTGACTTTACAGGATCAAATTTTGAAGGTGCCCACCACCTGTGAACAAAATACAAATTTTCAAATTATTGGTTAGCAAAACCTATTGCATAGTAAAAATCATTTTTAATAAGAACAAAACACAAGTAAATATCGTATATATAAACACTAAACTAGTGAATGTGGTGAATGAACTATTCTGATCATATATGAAAACCAACCAAAATTTTCATTCAGCGCATAAACATAGGCAAGAGCCGAAAGACACTTCCAAGTGGTGCCACAAACTTCAGAAAAGCATATATATAAAAAGTAGGATCATTTGATATACAATTAACAATTTCAGCTGCCCCTCCACCATTTGTCATCTTAAATACCTGGAGAACTAAAGTTTACAACGATACAATGCACCACCATCTAGGAAATCATCATATCCATGGGAATCAATAAACTACAACACATATTAAAGATATTAAACTACCAGTGTCCTGTGTTGAATATTAAAATATCATGAAAGTTTGAAGCCTTTGCCCATGTAAGTTCTGGAACATCAACATCTACCCTATAACCCTCCTTATATCCAAGAGCTTCCAATGTACCACCATTAGCATTAGCTGACCACCTGCATTAAACAGGAGCACCGACTTAAGTGAGATGCAACACATGAATTAAGACAAACTACAGACGATATGAATGACCATGCAATCTTATATAAAAGATACCAATACAGGAGAAAACAAAATAGAATGTGAAATTTTGCTGTTGCAGAAATAGAGAACAAAAAATGCAAACTTGCACATGGACATAAAAAATATCACAACAAAAGACTGCGTAGATGACAACCACCAGAATAATCAACCCAGTGAGCATCTTCTTAACCAGAATATCTATATCAGCTAAACTTCTCTAAATTTCCCCCATCCATTCCCTCCAAAGGCATCTAAGTCTTTTAGTTTCAGTATCTTACTAAATAATACATCCTTCCTCAGATTTTCAGTTTGATTACTTATGTTAATATTTCCATGAACAATCTCTCTTTGAGTGCCAACCAATTTCCAAAAGTCTCTAATTACATTAAGACTTTGAATCCAATCAAAGAGTAGAGCTCAGATTCTATGCTTGTTCTTAAATATCACTGCCACTGCCTCTTCACTGCCATCAAAAGCCATCACATGAAACCACACCGCTACCACCAACTGTCTCCTCTTGAACCAATTTTTTAACCCTAGTACCTAATATATACTCCGACCAAAGGTTCCGATAGCAAATTGGATACTAGGAGCAGACAAATCTCATGTGCCACCATAGGACGGTGAAGAGGCAAAAGCTGAGATATTTGGGAGGTTTAAACAAAGTTCAGATGAAGTGAGACCTTTAGGGAAAGTTGTAGCTTGGCAAGAGAAGAAGTCAACGGCAGTGGCTCTGTCATCGATGCACAATGATTGGTGGCAACACATGGGTGTGGTATGAGGCAGGTGAGGTGACTATTTTATTTAGCTTCTATCTCTGGGATTCTTGGACTTATTTTTTTCAAATATTTGTATGGTATTATAGAAAGTGTGAATTTATTGATGACTATTAGAAGTGATTTTTATGTTTTTGGAAGTGTTTAAGCAAAATGTATTTTGGAAGTGATTAAAGTTTTGTTTTCAGTGTTTTAGGAAAGCCAATATGGATAGAGTTTAGGCTGAAGCTATGATACGATACAAACAGTGGAGAACATGAAGAATAAAATGGTACAGATAAAGCAAGAAATAGGAGAACATGACGAATAAATACAGTACTTTAGCTTACCTACCGTAACGTGCCAAAAGATTTGTTCGATGATATGCAATAGTGAGGTTATACTGAAGAAATGTAAAGCCACGATCAGCCCCAACCGGACGCCACTTCTTAACTTCCCTGGACACACGTTTCAGAGTGCAAAAAAGAGACACAAACATATTTCTGTTCAAGGAATCGCCAACAAACCCTGCACTGTTGAATATTCATAAGCTCTACAAAACTAACTACCATAAGACCCCAAAAATAACAAAAGCAAATTTTCCAACACTAATAAAGGAAAAAAGAAAACGCCCAGAAAAATTAAAAAAAAATAATAAAAGAGTACCAATGTTAGTGTCTCTGTAAGTGTGGAGAAACTTAAGCGGATCTAAGGGGTGAAGATGACACGTGTCAGGTTTCCATCGCCACTTGGGGATTTCTTCAGCATTGGATTTATTGTTGAGAAGACAACTCCACCCCTTAAAAATCTCCTTACAGGTGCTATCGTACCTATCGTTGAATCTGAAGTTGGAGGAGTAGATCCACTTGCCGTTGGAGTAGTTACAGGGCCAGGGATGGGAGATAACCGGATCGGATCTGTCATTGGGTTTGAAAAATGTGGGGTGAGATAATGATGAAGAAGAAGAGAAGGAGGTTTTGTTGGAGATGGAAAGGAGGAGGAAGATGGAAGCGAAAATGAGAAGAGAGAGTAAGGGAAAGAGTTTCTTTGGGTTTTGGTTGGGATTTTGGTGGGCTCGATTGGCCATAGATGAGAAGAGCCGGACAAGAGCTATGGCTAGACCACATTATATACGGACACAAGTGAACCTGTTCCATTTATGACCAGTTTTGAAGGTGCTCAAGGCAAACCCTAGGTTTAGTCAGAGAACAAGCGACCCATAAATTTCAGAAGACACTTACATCCTTATAGTTTTGAATAGAACACTTCACCCTCTTAGTTGGAGACCCTTTGTGAAAAGTTAATTCGGCATAAAATCTTGGTGCAAAGCTAAAGTACCCTTATTTATCTTTTCTCATGCAATAAAAAAGAAACTAATATCTGAAATTTGTTATATGATCAAAATATTTAATTGATTTAAAAAATATTAAACTTGTAATTCAATCAATAAGACATATTGAGAAGAAAAAAACTGTTTTATTTGTTGTCTATTTTACCCTTCAAGTAGTTACTTTTACACACCATTCGATTACGTGTAAATTTTTCATTTGAAACTATATAGTGTAAATGAAAAATAAAATGACATATTTTTTTCCGTGCATAAATTAAAATTTGATGCAATTTTTTAATTAATATATTGAGATTACAAATATAATATCAACTTTTTGAATGGTATCTGCTAGGGGTTCGAAATTGTGTTAATTTTTTTTTTTTTTATTTTTTAAAAAGATACTCTGAACCTAAACCAACGACAAAAAAAATAAATTGTGATCTCTGTCTAGGAATGAGCATTAAACAAATGTACTAAATATCATGTTATAAGTTTAATTAGGGCACTTAATTTTATTTTTCCCATTAATCCAATACTAATATCTTTACAAGAAATTCTCATTTATTTAAAAATCCTTACACACGTCTCTCATTGCTAACGACATTTGTAACTACCTTGAAATGAGTTATAAATATTCAAACTGGTTTGACAGCGATCATCACAAATAAAAAATAATATCTCTTGACCAAAACCATCAACACAAATAAATAATACACCATAAAAACTATTTAATATTATAATCCTATCCATAGCTTTACATTTCTTCAAAGTAAAAGCTAAAATTGCATATAATAGAAAATAGTAGTCCAAGTGTCCAACTACACTCGCCTTAGGCTGAGTATGGCAATTTTACCAACGAAGGAAATCCCACCAAGTTATTTATGGTTACATTTATGCAAAATCTCATCATTCAATAAACATATACTAGTTCTACTAAATATTCATGGCATCATCATCAATATAATTTATCACCGACACATCCAGTGTCCAGATGGCCTCAGAAAATATTAAGTCACGTAAACATTTCTAGGTTCTACTCTACCCAGCTACCAGCCTCTTCTTCCCAGGTCCAGGCAACATACATAAGATGACACAAATAATAAATTCTTACCATTTAAACAACCATCATTACTTTGTTCTAGGATCATCAAAAAAAAGCAAGTCCGGACAGCAGCAAATACCAAAACAAAAGAATACATAAGGGGAAGCCAGTTCTTTGTGAACTAACTTCCCTAATGATATTTGAATCAAAAGATCACTATCTCAAGATTGGTACACACAAATGCGGCAATGAAGTTACACAAATATAACTTACCCTTCGGGTGCCTAAGTCTCTTGCCATCTTGGTTTTTAATAGCAAGTTCATCGAGAGAGAGGATATGAGACTGAGATTCTCAATGAAGTGACTTGATGTGGAAAACTTGACAGAGGCTTATAAGACCTCTTTGCCGCAGCCTGCAAACTTCTTTGTGGCAGCTTCATTATCTTCTAAGTTATTCTGAAGAAATACTTTATCCACCAAGATGGACTACGCAATTTGGCCTACACCAAATAACATTTCAGATATCAACTTTCTTCTAACAATCATTGGAAATCAATTGCAATAACCATTAAACCGAGCAAAACATGAAACTACCATAGAATTGGCTGCATCAAAATCACAGTGATGTTTACAACAGCACCACTCTTCAAGAACTTCTACATGGTTTTCTAATTTTCCATTCTCTTTTTCATTATTTAATTGTTAAAATTTCAAAGGAAATAGTGTCTTCTTATTTCTCTAAGTAAAATAAACTAATTTTCCAGTACATTTATAATTTCAATTTATTCAATTTGTAGCAAAAATACTGACCAAATCCATTGGTCCAACTTAAACATTCACACCCGTGTCCATTTGATAGACAAAATTAATGGTTTCAAAGAAAAGATATTGCAGGGTTGATCCAAAACCCATAAACCAAATATTACTTCACCTTCACTTTCGTAATATGCAAAAACTGACAGTACTAAAGCAGTAAACAGAAACATAAAAAATCAATCACTTATGGACGGCAAATTTGGAAGTTCCGCAATTTTAGCACTGTGCTGACCAGGATAACCTACATTAGAAATGGCATCAGCAAAAACTTCAGAAAATCAATCATTGTATGCATAATTAATGATTAAAAAAGAAGTAATCAACAACACAATCCTAAGATGTCGAATCATGTTAAAAGATCTAGGTGAAGAATTTTTGGTGGTGGGAGAAAGGGAAAGGTGAGGAATGCTTCTTGTATAGAAGGGTTACACTGTCTCCTGTTAACAGATTGAGAAAAACATGAGAAAGTGATCAAGGAAAACTGGATTGCTACACCATATTAGCACCAAACGGGTGAAATTGAACAAGGAATCAACGACTGAATCAGCCCCTGACAGCCAGAATTAGCCCATGTGAACCTAATTACCATTGATCACAGAAAGCTGGTCAAACCAAACCAAATAACCAGTCAACTTCTCAGTCAGGTTTGAGTTATTCACCAACATAAACAAGAATTAGCATGTCCTGCCTGAGCACATTTGTAGAGAAATGTAAATAAGCTAAATAGGGGTTGTAAATTACCCAAATAGGGCTTACCGTAAATATACAAACACCATCAGCAGATACCCTTGCCCCTTCTGGAAGAGTTTTGTTGAGGTACTTTGGAGTCAAGTAATCTACAGCATCAGACACTATGACTAGAGAAAATGACTTTGCCCTATAGGGCAGGGAAATTTGATATCAGCCACCGCACAATGCCTTTGCGCACTAGACTCTTGCAGTTGGATCAACATCACAAGGTATGGTCCACACCCCATGCCTCTGTATCCTCCTTTCTAACAATTTAGAACCACTGAACAAGTTTCAGGTCCTACATGCAAACTTTACGCCTGCTGTCACATATGCTTTTGAGAACAGGTAATGCTCTCTGGACTTCTAACGTGCATGAAACATCACCTGCATACACATAATTGAATCTTGAAACAGGAGAATGAAATGTATCTGACAAATTGGCATGCTATAGACTATATACAAATTGGAAGGTAATCAAAAAGGTAATACTGCCAAGAATTCTTAGCAAGAAACAAGAAAGCCCAACTCAAACCATTACAGGTTTAAAAAATGTTTAATTCAGTGAATTTCTGTACTCATTATATTAAATTTCTGCAACTCTTAGTACACAATACGACAATAGTACAGTATATAATCAAAAACTTTAAAAGGAAATACGAAACAGAAAAAAATAAAATACAAACTACTAAGCAATTATAATACCATAAATTCATTAGTTGATTACATACAGTAAGAATAAAGCACATAACGCAGATCACTATCTCGTTACAAAATGTGGATGGCCTATATATGGGTTGTAAAAAGCCCAAACTAATAGTTTGAACCAGTGGTCAGAACAATCTGAACCTAGACAAAGCTCAAATCTGTTGTAAAAGACTACAAATACTTCTTTCCCTCTAATTTCTCCTCCCAGTTGTTTAGGAGAATGAACTTGAAAGTTTTCTTGTCCCCATAAACTATCTGGATCAATGGACAGTGCACCCTATGTCTGCCATGGATTTAACTTTCTGTTGGAGTATGAAAAAAAACCATGCAAATTGTAAGTCCTAACCGATTTTCGATAGGAAGTTCTAGTCAATTGCAACTCCGCGTGGCCACAATTAACTTATTGCTTTTTAAACCCCTAAGACCCCTCCCCCATGACAGAACACCAACCCTTATTAAGTAGTTAAAAGCTTATAGAAACGAATGGCCAGCACTCAGCCACTCACTATATTCATCATTTATTTGCAAATCGCTGGCATACCAAAATTTCCAAAGTCGGTAAATGTTGTAAGAGACTGTCTATATGCATCACAAAGTTCAACCATCCCATGTATCAATCACAAAGCTATATATTGAAGTACCACAAAAGTATCCAACCCCAAAACTCAAGGACAGAGTAGTTATGAAAGAACAAACATAAAAGCCATATATGGCAGAATACTACTTTGCATTCAAATAAAGGTATTAAAAGCATCAAATCTAAATAAATAAATAGAACCACACCTTCAATTTTACTCAATGCCTCCTTTTCATGATTACTCTACCTGTAACAGAAACCAAATAGTGAAAACAGAGCATAATATAGAAAGGTAACACAGAAGCTAGACCAGTGCCATTAAATTACGAATACTCGTGATGGACAGAAGATTCCAGCACCATAGTATCAAAGGGAATTACATAAAGTCTGTTTATGAACCACATTATTTTCTCGCCATCTAGTTTTTTCCATGAAGGGCTTAAAAAAAGGTATGTAAAACTGACAATAGTTTTCAGGTCTTGGTCCTGGGACGAGAGAGGAAGAGTTCATAAACTACTCATCACACACAAAAATAAAGCTAACAGAGGGAGTACAAACCTGACCACTACAAATAGCCATGAGGAGAACTGCACCCTGAAATTATCAAAAATTAAATGATTAATAGTTTTATTTTCATACCAAAACCATTTAAAACTGCAGTTTAATAACTAGTTGTCTGTAGAAGGCATGCTTCCTTTTTGAAGGAATATTAGTGCTAATTAATAATTGTAAAAAATCATATTGAAGGAGAAAAAAAACTGGGGAACAACAACTGCAATGACACATACCACTGCTAAAAGTATAACAGGCAATAGGGTGACGAGCGTGATTTGGAATGCGCGGAACCAAAAAGGGATGCTCCGCATCAACAAGGCGTCGAGCAGGATTTACAGGCCTTCTTGACATGGCTATATAACAG